TAATGTTGGAACATTATCTATAGTCTATCTATACAACCTTGTATCATCTCTGTACACCGTAGATAATTTTTATTTTGTTTTCTAATTCGGTACAGACAGAGCCACAAATTTTTCTAGACAGATAAAAATAAAGCATCTTTGTAAGAATCGCATAAATAATCGATCACTCATACGTTTGGCAATGACGTGTTAGATTACATAGAATGCATTACACTAGCAAAACAAATATCGGCTTCGATTTGTTTTTTAGAAAAATGTTGAACAAACTACATTTTTGCGGAAACCACACTTACGTTTTACCAACTATTATCTTTATCTCTTTTCGAATGAACTCGCAAAGAGTTAATTGGAACTTCCTTAGTCTTATCCAGGAAAGTTTTGCAGAATATCGCCAAGTAGAAATGAAAATTTGTGGATAATTAGATTTTCTAGGTCAATTTATTAACCAAATTTAATCTACGCAATACTAGCTTTGAGTGTCTTGAAGTTTTTGCGGGGCCTGGATATAATTATGGATTGTTAGCTTGGGCATCAAGCTGGTGGTATGGTCAAATCATTTTGTTAAATTAAATTTTGATGTTTTTTACATTTAATAACCTCGTATCGATATTGCGATGTGCCCTTCTCCCTAAGCTTCGTGGGCAACGGTAATACAGACCAGGATTGCAGCTGGGGGCTGTGGAAAAATATTTTTTTCTCATTATAATAAAGAAAATATGCAGGTTTCCTCATGACTTTTCTCCTTTCTCCTTTTTTCCTTAACCGCTGAGCATGTAATAAGTCAGCACTTAAAAGTAACAATTTTATTGGTGCCGGCACCGAGATTTGAACTCGGTTTGCTCGCGTATAATGAATTTAAAGCGGGCACCCGGACAGCGCCAGATATTTAGCATTTGGCGACCCTAACGGATATGCTACGTTAAGCAAGTTCTTGGTCATGTCAACGACAATGAATTTATCAAATGGTAAAGTTTAAATATGAGGGATATTTTTCCCATTGCCAGTTATTGGTACTAGCGTAACGTGAAAAATTATAAATCTTCAAACAACAGATACAATGTCGTTCATCAGTAGCGGTAAGGCAAGCTCTTCAAATGCCTTATCGCTTTTATATCAATGTTTCGTGACACCGTCAAGTCAAAGTTTATAAAAAAATATAATATTCTTCTTGTGTTATCAAGAATAAACTGCACTCCGGTTTTTCTTTATCAATTCTCACTTGCTCATCTTCTCACTTCACTCTCAAATTCTCACTTTCTGACTCTCTCACACTTTCTCACACTCACATTCTCACTTGCTCAACACTAATCACATCTCTGGAACGCAATTTCCTCACAATATAACCTGCACTGAACTACAGATTCAGCATATAAAGAGAGGACTTAGTTACCGATTATGCAAGTATTTTGCCCATTTAATCGTTGACATGGAAAAAACGATACTTTATCTACGTTGTTATCAGTGATGACGTTATCTATCTACGCGTTAACACTTTAACGGCGAACTGAATTTGTTATTGGATTTGCAAATTTTTAACGCTCAATTTAGGACAGGAAAAAATTACATGTTTATTGGTTAACTTCGAACAAGACTAAACTAAACTAAACAAGACTAAACTATATAAGTGTAGTGTACACTTATTCGGAATAAAATCACAAAATGCTGAAAGAATCCAGTGTAGCTTCCGGCGCTATCTTGACAAAACATTTTTGGCGGATATCGAAACTATACACTTAAGAGGAAAAGTCACAAAGATGGTCTTTCGTACTGTAGGGAATCAAATTCCGCATCTTTTATTTGCCATAAACTTTTTGTTATGGTAAGCCCCCTTCGCGTTTATTTTTAATTAGCGACCCGCCCCGGCTTTGCACGAAACAATGCTGATACTAAATATACCTTCCCCCTGAATCACTGTATCTAGTAAAAAAACCGCATCATGATCCGTTACGCAGTTTTAAAGATTTAAGCATACATACGGACAGACAGACAGCGGGATGACTTTGTTTTATACTATGTAGTGATTTTAATTGTGTTTTAAGGCAGCTATATGTTCCTAGGTCAAACAAGTCTCTAAAATTGGCTTTGTAAGCACACCTTGAATTTCCCAAACCAATACATCATGTTTGACAGATCACTGATCCTTGCACAAGAATACCGATTCCTCCCAAGGACGATTCGTGAGGCTATTGACCGTGTACATAAACGCTTAAATGGATTCAGAAATGGTGAAAAGTTGATCATATGGGTCCTTTCTCAAATTTCATTTAGACACTATTGTGCGTGGCCCCGTACTACTTATTAGGTCAATGGGTGTATTCAAGATGTCGGTATTAACTTCACAAATTGTCCGCTGGCAGCCCAGACTTGAACATCATAGAACATTAATGGTGGTAGGGCCACGCAGTAGCCTCGGCTGTTGCACGAATGGGCAGGCTCGTCCGGGTAAGTACCACGACCTCACAGAAAACCGGCGTAAAGTGGAAGTATAATACTTTCGCGTTTCGTCTGGTGACTGAGGTGGCCGGAGCCCAATTTCGAAAAGGTTGTCAACACATCTGGAACCCTCGAGTGTGGCAGATGTCCATGGGCGGCGGTATTCACTTAACATCAGGTGAACCGTCTGATCGTTTGGCAAACTTTTCACATAAAAAAAAACATGAATGGAACAAGATAGAGAGATGCGTTAGACAAGGCCACTTGTCACCTTCTCAAACAAAAAAGAAGCTTTCCAGTTCAGCTTCCTTACAAGAGTTACGGAACGCGTTAGTGGAAGTATGGGCAAACGTAGACCAAAATCCTATTAAAAACTTGGTTAACAGTATGCTGTTATTGTGTTAATGAAGTTATAATATATTAAACAACATTTTTTGATAAACTGCTTTGTTATCCTTTAATATAGCTTTTTAAGTCTCCGAAAACCTCTTAACTTCTCTTTGATAGCTTTTTAAGACTCTGGAAAACGTCAAATGTCAACGCTCGCAAATAGCAAAAGAAAACAAATAAGCGAGGTTGATATTTGTTTTCATAGTGTAATGTGTTCTTTGTAAACCAGTCAACACTTCAATGCCAAAGGAATGGGTAATAGATTATTTATTCGATACTAACAGCGATGCTTCATTTGTTATTCACTAGAAAAAATTATAGATCTTTCTTTGAATACTTTTTTTAATCGCGATTCGGAAAGAAGATGCAAACTGTCATTTAAACAACCTGCATAAAATGGGCTTATTTACTTAAAACATTACGTCTTATACAGAAGAGAGAAAAGCATGATGTAATCTTTTTTGAATTAAAAACATTATTTATTATATAACTGAAATCGAGATAAGCACTTATCTGGAATTCAGTAATGTCGGTGACATAAAATCTCTTTTATCTCTGAAAGACTCTTCCTTCCCTTTTAGACCTCATTCCCGTTTCTGTGGACCACGTAACTTCGCATTGTCAAATATCTGTCTCCTTTTCGGATCACGACCTGCCCTTCCTTAATTATAAATTACACAAACAAATTTAAATTACACTAAACAAATCCTAATTTCTTTATCTGACAAGTTTTGCGTCGATACACCTGAAGCACTTGTTATATAATATGCTGATGTAATTACCACCAATTGTTCACGTGAAATTTGTTTTTGTAAAACGTCCTTACAACATAGAATAATTTTATCCATAAGTAAGGGCAATTTTAAAAAAAAATGGGCTTCCTGATTAAGCTTTATATCGTTCCTCTGTATAGAAGCAACACCATCACTGACCAAAATACTCTTGTAAGTAGGAACACATAAAAGTAAATAAAAGTCATTATATATGGGCATTTTTATTTATTGCAGCATTTGATACAGGCATGCCGGTTACAATTATTTTTTTATTTTATAACCGTAAAAATCTTTTAAACGTTTTATTATTTTAATAAATACTCTATCAACATTAAGATATTTGTTTTATTTCTAAAATATATAACATAGATTATATGAATGAAATTGTTTAATATGAAAAATATTTACATATTGAAATGTCAGAGACAAAATACGTCTAATATTCTAATTTATTATTAGCTATTAAACCGTTCTAATAGCGGGAACATTTAACTATGGCTACTTATCAATAATATAATTTTTGATAATATTTATTTCATAGTATATTTACCTTAAGTGGTATTCCGTATAATATTACGTCAATGATAATTCGATGTTTTAATTTCTACTCATACTTTACTAGATTACTATGTGATATATACCGTTATAAACATTATTTTATTTTTACATGTAAGTATATCCGTTAACTAGTTAAAGCAATAATATCTTACATTTACTTCCATATTAGGGCTCACGAATATAGAAGTAAATGAGATGCCGACAATACATTTATTTACAATTAATTACATACAAATATATTTTTTCTGTTAACAGTCATACATTTAATATACATTAACGTTCTATATAATCAAATTTGTAAAAATTACCTACTAATAAAACCCACTGTTCATATTTGCACCATTATTCACATATATACAAACATACTTGCACACGTTTAACAAGTATTGTGAGTTATTTGCTAATATTCACATGTTATTTACAATGCATTTTTGGGGCAATGTAAGACAATTATACATCTGTATATACCTACATACTACTGTAACACCATTTGAGATATATGTCTTTGCATTCTAAATTAAATCTAACAACATTTTGTATTTACAAATTTGATTCCAATCGATAATAGTAATTCTAGCAATAATACACCGTGATAAAACATCACAATATGTAAACTTGCATGTAGAAGTTGAACTTGTCGTTGTCAAGGCCGACTAAGCTTTTGCGTTCACGCTCGATTTCCTTGATGAATATTTAGGTTTAAATGATTATAATCGCCGATTATAATTAACAAGTCTAAACCAAAGTAATTTACTAAGCGGGGTTATGTATTCGTTATTTTTACAGCCGGTGTCGTGGTTACACGTCGGTTGCTTGGTCGCGAGCGCGGCCACAGAGTGTTTCTCAGACTATGTCATGGCAGGAGTTCCCGTTGCCGGTCCTCGTGGTCTTTGTGGGCTGCGGCCGCCCAGCGTCATAGGGCGGAGGGCAGTACATCACCTACAGACGAGAATTTAATGTACGCAAGTTAACGCTTTCGCAGTGTGGGACGACCGCCCACTAGATGGAGTGACGACCTGTGCAAGTGTGCGGGAAGTCTATGGATGCAGGTGGCTCAGGATCGTGCTTCGTGCCAGTCTGCGGGGGAGGCCTATGTTCAGCAGTGGACTCAAACAGGCTGAAATGATGATGATGATGGTGAAGTTAATGCTTACTATATAAGTTCCTAGTATTAAGAATCTCATAGAGAACATTAAAGCGTGAAAGCTGTAATGGAAAATAGTAAAAAAGGCCTTATATTTTATTTGAAATAAAATAATAGAGCCGTGATAGCTCAGTGTCCGGGCGCTCGGCTTTAATTAAATATATTTGAGCAACCTGAGTTCGATCGTCGGCACCAATAAAATTGTTGATTTTAAGTGCTGAAGTGAGAAAAACATCGTGAGGAAACCTGCATATTTTCGAAATAATAACAAAAATATTTCGAAGATATGTGAAATCCGCCAATCCGTAGCGAGGTCGCGTGGTGGACTATGCCCTGAAACCCTCTGAATAGAGGAGACCTTTGCCCGGCAGCCGGTCATGTATAGGCTGTTACTTTATTAGGATAATAATAATAAAAAAATACGGCTTTAAATAGTAATAATAATTAGCCGTACCTTTCTAAAAGCGACCCTAAAATTCTCGGACAGAAACGCGTACAAGACAGGATTGACGCAGCTGTTCATGTAGGCCAGAACGTGCGACACGATTTGTGCGGTCACCGTGAAGTATGTGATCGTGTACTTATCCAGCGCTTTCACAAGGAGAATTATCTGCAACAGATTCGCTTATTACTTTTATTCATAAATCCTAAAACCCGTCATGGTAATTATTACCAAAATCCTGATCTGAATTTTACGACCTGATATAGAGATCCTAGGTATTAATATTTAAAAAGTCCATATTCGTCGTATTTGCTGTCAGACCAAAGACAGAAATAGATTTTGTTTATAAAATCAAATAAACTTTATAGTTGTCATGACTTCGAAAATTTTATCAAACAGAGCACTCGCTTGTTTGACTTCCACGAATACACACACCATACCACCGGGTGACAATATCTACCAAGTATCTGTACGGCAAGTCGTGCTAAGGAATATTTTCCAATAATATGTGGGACTATAGATATAATAATATATACATTTGCTAGTTTTGTTTCCTAAGCTACTATACTTTATTTCTTAATAGGCGCAGTTGAAAAAAAAATGAGTATATTCACCTGAATTGGGCACCAGCAGACGGCGAAAACTACAACAACTACCACGACCATTCTGGTCACCTTCTTCCTTCCTCTCCTGCTTTCAGCAGATACCCTGCCACCAGGGGCACTTTTCCATAACCTGGTCAACATGCACATATACAGGACGCTGATCAACGCCAACGGCACTACATAGGAAGACAAAAAGAAGGAGAGCTGGAATCCCCATTTGCTATATCCATGGTCCTCTAAGAATACACACGACGAGTGGTTCCTATGAAAATAGGAATACTCCCTTTCCCCGTGGCATATCCCCACCGGTATAGCAGTGGTTAATATGACAACCCATATGCAAGCGATAGCTAGTAACGCATTCTTCTCGGTTCGTATCGACATGGATGCGATTGGATGTACGACCGCCATGAACCTATCCAACGACATAAGGACCAGAGTGTAGACAGACGCATGTGCTGTCACCACAATGAAGTACTGGACGACTTTGCACCACCAGTCGCCGAAGGGCCAACGTGGCATCACATAATCAGTGGCGGTAAAAGGAACGCAGAAGGTCACAAAGAGCAAGTCGGCGACGGCCAAATTAATTATGAGCAGGTTGGTCGTCGACCGCATACCAGGATTTGCAGCGACCACCAGCACAACCAGTGCGTTCCCGACCAAGCCCACGATCCCGATGAAACCGAAAAAGATCGGCACAACCCTAGAAACGACTTTCTCCAGTAGTTCACCATTCTCAAATTCAGCGCTGTAGTTGCAGCCGCCGAGGCTGTCGATTTCTTCACTGGTGAGATTTAGGCATATACTGTAAAATTCGTCTTCGCTGGAGTCCATTTTGCTTTCACAGTTTTCTCATATTTGTTTGAAGTTGAGATTTCGTTTGCCTCTCAGATATTTTGTAGATGATTTGACCTGAAACAAAATTATTTTATTGTAAGAAGATACGAGGGTAGTAACAATTATTATTTTAATTACAACAGTCTAGTTTGTAAGGATAATGTAACAAAAATATTTGAACACTGATAAACTCGATAAGTACTTTATATTATATCATGTACTTGATGTTTTCGTTTGTCTAACAGGAAGCTAATATATACGATTAACATAAACTCATCCAACAATGATTGTAAATAAATAATATTGTGAAGGTTATATTGAAAAATGGTAGAAAAACTGGTACATATTTTGACAGTTTTTGTTAGACAGCTTGCTTAACTATTGCAAGGTATACTAAGCAAACTTGTATAAAACTTGCATAATTATGTAAATGTGGTCAATATTGAATAATGCTATGTCCTGCCGAGTTCCTTTTGCCAGTTCTTCTCAGGTCAATGGCTTTTTTTTTTCAAAAGCCGGTAGTAGTATTTAGACAGTCAATAAGTAAATGTAATACTTCTATATTGAATAAAGATGTTTCAAATTGTATTTAAAATTGTCAAGTTACTTTGGACTTATAAAACTTCACTATTTTTGATGATTTCACAGTGAATTACACGGTAAATATTTTTTTTAGTATTTCCCTTACTGCAAGATAATATTATTATTACTATTTGTATTTCACTATTAATATTTAGGGAATATTTATTTGTTTTCTCGTCTGGTTGGGTATTTATTTATTTTATACGAAAAGTTCTCAAACGAGCAGACGGTTCACCTGATGTTAAGTGAATACCGCCGCCCATGGACATCTGCCACCCCCCAGGGTTACGGATGCGTTGACAACCTTTTGATAATTGGGCTCGGGCTACCTTACTCACCAGACGAAACGCGAAAGTATTTCTCACACTTCCACTTTACGCTGGTCTTCTGTGAGGTCGTGGTACTTACCCGGACGGGCCTGCCCATTCGTGCAACAGCCGAGGCTGCAGCGTGGCCCTACCACCGTTATAATTTATAAATAAAGATAATAAATGTTGTACATAATACATATACCTCTCTCTCTTTTCCGATACTTGTTCGTCTTAATAACCTGATCCTGTATAGCACAGACAAAACCTTCAGAGAGGTCACCAAAAGGTAGCCAGTTAAGGGAGGCAACAGTATCTACGACGCGTTATTCACGCCTGACAAATGGCTGTTAAACACCTTTGTCCACCGTGCAAAAAACACGTCACGAACTGACTGTTTCATACCAGCCTCATCGATACACATGTTTTGTGACCCTGGTAATGGTATATTTCAGCCTCAGAGAGGGTTCTCATGTTAACGGGCGTAGATAAGTCTATGCCCTCCGTATTTGCGACTTTACCCCTTTTGACATAGAGGACCGCACACTTATCCGTCCCGAGCTCCATTTTGATAGAATTGCTGAAATCACAAGTGACTTTAAGCAATTCCATCAAGTGGGAGCGATTGGAGGCGAATAATTTGAGATCATCCATGTAGAGAAGGTGGTTCATTTTTGTACCTCCTCTCCGAAGCTGAAATACTTCCCCCGAGCCCTCCAGTAACACGCTGAGAGGGTTCAGGGAGAGGCAAAACCATATTGGGCTCAAACAGTCTCCCTGGAAAACACCCCATCGTATCCTTATCCGGTACTGCGCAGCCGTCATCTGCTCGCCTAGATGATAAAGGATCGTACTCCATTGCCACATACAGTGCTCGAGGAAATCTCTTACTGTACAGTCTACTTTGTACAGTCCGAGGACCCTCTTTAGCCATGTATGGGGTACCGAGTCGAATACCTTTTTGCACTATGTATATTTTGTATTAATATTATCATTATTATGCTGTAAGGACGTTTTACATACATTAATTTCACGTGGACAAGCACCCAGATCCGAAACAATATGTGGGTCACGCAAATAGTTCTCCCGTGTGGGAATCGAACGCACGAGCCCGGCCTAAGCACATGCCTAAGCCAACACTTTGGCAACAGCGCCACGGAGTCATCAAGCATAAATAATCCTTAAACTATAAATAAATTATTGGCTTTAGGATCGCTTCGATATATTTCCTTAAGAAACATTTGAGTTAATTTTATCTGTGGGAATTCCCGTTGTTTATTTCATAAATATGTATTTGGAGTAAGTATTTGCAGAACGTAGCATCAGATCAATCAGATCGATCATTTCTCGTGATAACGGTGCGTAAGCACGTGGCTCGCGAAGCGGAACTTTTGAAGTGTGAGACGCTCCAATCTATTTACCCGTTCGCTGATTGATTGTAAGCGTATACGGTACCGAATACACTTAAAATAACTGGGATCTATCAAAAAAATAATTCATCATCGTCCATCTCCTCGCATGTATATAAACGCAACAACAGATACCGATCTACATGGAAAATTCGTCATATGCATAGGATAATCTACAAATTCTACAGATATACACATAAATGTATAGATACACGTTTAAAAACGGTAATTAGATACATTAATATGAAATTCTAGCTTCGCTTCGCTTCACCTAGAAATCTAGAATACAAAGAAACTTGTCGGCTTACCAACGTGTGAACACGCGACACACAATTGACTTTTAATATAAATAGTGAGATTGAAATAAATTGATGATAAACAATGTATTCTATTATTTATATATTAATCTAACTAAACGTCCCAAACGTCATAAATATCAGTTACCAGTGTAACCATATTAGCTGATGTTCCAATGCTGCCACATGCATTTATACTAATTTTCATATCAATACGACCTATGGCTCAAAAGATACAAATCACTGCCACCAGCGCCACCTATCCGGTAATCAAAGTCAAAGTCAAAGTTAAATATCTTTATTCAAAATAGAAGCATTGCACTTACTTATTGATAGTGAAAAACTCAACCATGGGTAGATTGTGTTGTAAATGTTAATGTAGTACGTTCGTCATGGTTTCACATCAATTGGGCTAACGGTTCTCGAGTTTTAGTTGAACATACATAAACATATACATTCAGTTTTATATATAGATATCTATAGAGTCGCTTATTCAACTTACCATACCCTAATCTATATTCACGATGATTAGATATGACACAAAAGTTAGTGTGTGATTGAAACTTGTGTGATTGAAATCGATGCAGATAATGTCTATTCGCTGTAGGCTGTATCAAATTAAAAATATCAATTTGAGTTTAAAAGTATCTACCTATTAATATTGTTCAGGTGTACACAAGACTATGTTTAAGCTTAGTACACTGAGAGATGAAGGCCCCCTTCGATGAAATAAATATACGTACAAATTTAAATTCACTTATTTATACATCAATATAAGTTTTTGTGAAAACCATATTAATGGTGGTTTTAAATAGTTTACACCACTTGTAAATTCATGGTCGTATTCGTTTTCTGTCTCCGTACGTGTATAAGTTTTTTACCGTCGGATTTCCTTGGGTGAGAAGTTGTGAGATCGTAGATATGTATGCCAGAGGCACGGTAAAGTTTCGATTCTAACAAGCCTATTTAAATGCGGGTATAACTTACATGGAATTAAACTGAATTCTGAGTCTGTAGAATTTCTATTCTGGAAGCAAAACGAGCGAACTATAATTATTAAAATGAAATTAATAAACATTAAAATATTGCTTGAAACTAATTAGTGATTTTTACGATATTAATGGTATTTATTTATGGGGGATATTCATTTGTTTTCTCGTCTCTTTGGGTTTATAAATAAAAAATAAACATATAGATATATCTTTTGCAATTATATCTATAAGTTAATATTATGAATAAAAATAAACGTATAGATGTAAATACTGTATATAATACATACATAAATAGGACCGAACCAGACGGAAGCCCTCGGCAGGGGAGGCAAAACGACCAAGGGTTACTATCGGGTTAATTTCGGTCGGCACACCATCCCACATGTGGGTCACCTCGTGAGCCAGGTCCCGATACTTCGTCTTCTTATCTGTTTCGGCTTTCACGAGGTTTTCGTCACATTGAATGGTAATGTCGACCAAAAATACCCGCGACTGTGCCCGGTCCATCATTACGATATCAGCTTTGTTCGCGACAATCGTCCTGTCCGTGAAGATAGGCCGGTCCCAATAAAGCCTGGCGCGGTCATTTTTGAGTACGGACTCCCGATAGTACTTGAAGTATGGCAGTTTCCGATCCACGAGGCCGTATTTCAGAGCGAGCTCCTGTGTCGTGTCTATGCAGATACTCAGAGTTAAAAAGCATGGAACAACCGGACATAACATGCCGAAGCGACTCCCCGGGATGGCGACAAGCTCGACAGATGTTGACGCTGCCATCGTTTAGGATGTATTTCCGATAGTTGTTCTTCTTAATAACCTGATCCTGTATCGGACAGACAAAACTTTCGGTTTCCCCAAAGAGGTGACCGAAAGGTAGCCAGTTAAGGGAGGCAACATTATCTACGAAAGGCTCGTGTAGAGCTTTGTAGAACTTCCCGGGGAGCTCTTGCTCCTTCCACACGGTCTCACGGTCGGAAAAGCTCATTACTCCTGGGTCCTGCTATTGCTCGTTGGATAAGGATAGAGGGGTAGGTCCCGTATTTATTTAAATAAGGACTTACCCCTTATTATAATTATAACAGAAGTAATCTCATTCTGTTCTCGCAAGGAAAACAGCCTGACAATATTATTATATAGCTATTAAGTTTAAGCTAGTATTATAATGAATGCTCACTGACATTACTGAACGATTTATTATTAAAGAAGAATTTTTCAGAGGAAAATTGTATTCATTATTATGACAAAGACCGATAATAGTATGGAAGTCTGCCTCAGGATGTCCAGAGATGAAATATATGTCATTCAATAATTTAGATCTTCCATTTACAGATTGTTAAAGTAACATGTAGCTATGCAGTTGATGATAAAAATTATGAAGGTTGAAAAAAAATTTTTTTTGCTCACTCTATG